AGGACTGTTACATGCCTTTTTCAATGTGATAATCGCCTTTTTTTTCTGATAGTGAAAATAACAAATGCTCAATATGAGTTAGGAAAAAATCAAATATAGAAAACAATAATGGCGTAAGCCAGAATTACCCAAATTCCCACACTCTTTCAAATATGTAACTGCATTGCCACACACATGTGCAATCACATGCACACACACGTGTCCCTGGGGTGTTCCTTTGCATGGGTCAGAGTGCCATTAGTGAGGCCCCACCGGCCCCAAGAGTTTACCTGTTCAAGGCCCACGTGCCGGTGACAGCAGGAGGTCAGGCCTGCAGCGCGGCAGCCCTCTCCAAGGCCCTGACCGCCTTCCTCTTATGCACTCGAGGGTCTGGGTTGGGGGTGGGGGTAGTGTCCAGTCCCACCTGGTGCCCGGGTGCTGTATCAATGCACTGACCACGGCAGGCATGAACGTCTGAGCAGAAGCTTGTTTTGGTGAGTCATATCCCAAGCTGTGGGTTGAGTCCACAACCCCCAACCCAGGCACAGAGGTGGAAGCTAACATTCTCTCGGTCAGCGAAGCACTCCAGGCCACCCACCCAGGGCCCCTTAACACAAGCTGCCCCACTCCTCATCGGTGTTCGAATGCCAGGGAGTCGCAGAGATCTGGACTGTGCCCACCGTTGTGCCCTCCCCAACCGCCGTTCCCCGCAGCGACCCCTGCCTGTCCCAGAGATACTCGCTTCCGGCACTCCACGGTGGCCGTGGGTCCCGGCCCATCTGTAAACGTGGGTCCGACAAACTCAGCCTCCAGCAGGGCACCTGGCTGCGCCCACCCCTACCCCCTCACACGGACACATCTTTTATTTTAAGTATGGCAGAAGGCACATAGCATAAAATTGACTATTTTAACCATGTTAAGCGTATGATTAAGTGGCATTAAGTATATTGCAGTGTTGTGCGACCATCATCACTGCCCATTTCCAGAACTTTTTCACCGTCCCCAAAAAGGAACTTTATTCCCATTAAATAGTAACTCCCCATGTCCCTCTCCCTAGCGCCTGACAGCCCCCATTGTCCTCTCTGCCTTTACGATTTCGTTATTCTAGACACCTCATGTAAGTGGGATTGTACAGTATTTAAGTGTCCAGGAGGTTCTTCCTTTATTACTGTTATTGCCAGCCTAACAGGTATGAAGTGGCATCTCATTGTAATTTTGCAGACCCATCACTCTACTTCAATGGGATTACACCATATATATTCTTCTGTACCATGATTTTTAAACTCATTAATGTGTTGTAGACAGCTTTCTGTGGAATGATGTTTTTGAGAAATTGCTTGGATTACGATTATAAGCATTTTTTTGTGAATTGACTATCACTTCTCAGAATCAAGTTAAATGAGTGAAACAAAAGTCTTATGCTTGTCAAAGAAAACATAGGGAGCTCGATTTTCAACTCGGGGCCGATGGCCTTTTCCAATACGTAATTGTCTCCCGCTGGTCACCTCTGAGCTACGTGAAGTCCGGGGTGGGGGTAGGGGCAGGCTGGGGGTGGGGACATGAGATGTGAGATAAAGTTCGCAGGATCCCAGCACTAGAAGGGTCTCGGCTTGCATTCCTCCAGGAACAGAGGGCTCACAACCTGATCAAGCCCTTTGCCCATTTCCTCCTTGAGTAGCTCCACTGACTGCAATTACAAAGTCCTTTTATTAGCAGCAGTGTTAATTATTGTATTATTATTTTATCCTTGCCCAAGGACATTTTTTCATTGCTTAGAGAGAACAGAAAGGAGAGGAGAAGGGAAAGAAAGAAACATTAACGAGAGAGAGAGAGAAGCATCTACTGATTGCCTCCCATGTGTGCCCACACCGGGGGTCAGCACCCCGACTGGGGGCTGTACGTGTCCAGACCGAGATCACATGCTCCTGCACCCAGACGGGGCATCAAACCCGCAGCCCAGGTATGTGCCCTGACCAGGAATTGAACCCTCAACCCTTCAGCTACGGGAAGATGCTCCAAGCAACTGAGCCACACTGGCCAGAGCTTTCATTATTTTTAAGAGTTACGATTTTGTTTTATTTAATTGACTTAATTGGGGTAACTAGTTAACAACATATAACTTCCAGGTGCACCGTTCTATAACAAAACACCTGTATATTGCGTTGTGTGCTCACCACCCTCAAAGCCCTCCTTGTGTGAATCTAAACTGCATCTTCTTAAAGGTTCCAACTGTTCCAACTCAGCCTCCTCCTTGGTCACCTGTGCAAGGGAGGCATCCCTCCCAGGCCCCACTTGTCCCCTGTTCCTCGGCCCCCTCACCCTCCTGGCTGGGGCTCCCCTTGCCCCTGACCGCACACGCCCTCTGAAGACACAGAGCTCGCCAAACGCACTCTCGCAGCCAGCTCGCAGTAAGAGTTCTCCCTTCGCCTCCCAAGACGCCTTTTACCCACACACACTCAGAGTATCAATGACCTGTTTCCTCTGGGCATGGAGGGATTTCAAGGCTGCTCGCCACAGTCTGGAAGGAAAAGCCACTTCACACAGTGATTAATAAACCTAAAGCACTCGTGACTCCCAGTAGGGACTATGGGAGGAAATGGAAACGGCTCCGAGATTTCTGAGACAGATTTATGGAGACTGAGTCACAGATGGCTGCCTTCGGTTAGCCCTTTGGGATGTTTGGTGCCGGGACACCTCCTCTCCTAGCATGTGCTAGGGACCTGTCTCCGGGTCGCTTCAGGTCCTTGCTCCAACCTCTGATAATGAACTTTCTGATAACTGAGCCCCTTGGTGCTTAGCCAGACACAGAATTGGGGCATTGAAATGGTGGCTCCCAACACCACTTAGACTGATAGTTTTTCTGGTTTTCTTTTCTGTCTCAACAGAAAAATCCCTGATGCTTACACAGTAGCAGAGCAACCAGAAGCATAAATTGCATTTCACCGTCTCCAGAGTGCACTTTCCGTAATGTTTACGGTTCCGCCGGGCTGGCTTGCTCTTTGCCCCGGGATCTCATGGCGATGCTGGGAGTGTTCGGCTGGACCTCCGAGTGTGGGTGGGAAGTCCAGTTCACAGGCCTTCCCTGCCCATCCTCTTATACCCCAGGTGGGGTTATGAATGGAATTCATCTTCTCTGTTCAGGAACAAAGGGGAGGACGTGAATGGCCAGTCTACCTTGTGTTGGCTCCAGCGACAGAAGACAATAGTATCTCACGCTCATGGAGCACTTATTCTAAGCCGGCCCCAGGCGAACCCCTTCCTAAGCATGGTCTCACTTCATCTCCACAGCAGTCCTAAAGGTGGGTGCTGTTCCCCTCTCCACTGTACAGAAGAGAGTGAGGTTCACAGACATGAAGTAACTTTCCCAAGGCCCTTACCCCCCACGCCCCCACACCCCCCACCCTGTGGGTAGTAGCACAGCCCCAGCCTAACCCATCCCCAGGGCGGGGCAGGGGCCAGAGGAGGTACCCCACCTGACCCTCAGGCGATGCTGCAAGGCAGGCCTTATTATCCCGCTTCACGCAGGAGGAAGGTGAGGCTCAGAGCAGCGGGGAAGTGACTGTGCCAGACCTGAGCCAGGAAGCGGCAGACCTGTAACAAGTACACAGGCCTCCCATAGCCAGAGAGTTATCTCCTCCAAGGGAAAGAAGAGGAGGTGAACTGGGAGCCTTGTAAGGGCAGGGTCTGTGTCAACTTGAGCATCCCATATCCTGGGGGTCAGCCGCCAGCCCCACACGGGATGCCACAAGTCCAGGTGCTGGAGGAACCCTGGCCCCGAGGGAGGAGCGGGAGGGGCAGCCAGGAGTTGGGGGACTGTGAACTAGATGGGGTAGCAGCCCTGGGCCCAGGACACTGCTGGCCACTGGGAGGAGCCCTCCTCCAGCCTCCGAGCTCCAGCGCTGGTGGCTGCCCTTCAGCAAACCCTGTCTTTCTGGCCGCTCTGCCCTGGCACTGTGGGAGGTCTGGGGACACAGACCCTGAGCAGGGAGTCACGCTTCCCTGGAAGAGCTAGGCAGTGAGCGACGAAACCAGCAGTCATATACAATGAGTACACGTGAGGCGGTCAGGGGGGGCAACAAGCAGGGGCAGTGGCACGGAATTACAGAGTGGCCAGACCCGGCCTCACCCAGAGGGGACTGTTGGGCTGAGACCAGAAGCAGGAGGAGCAGCTCTGGAAAGCTCTGGGGAAAGGGCCCTTTTGGTGGAGAGAACCACGAATGCAAAGGCCCTGAAGCATGGAAATGCTGAGGTGCCTGCCGGAGGCCAGTGGTGCCGGACCACGAGAAAGGAGGGGTGTGTGAGGAGATGCACCCGGTGCCAGCAGGCATCCCAGGGTTTGAGCTCCTGTCCTGTGATGGGGACAAGCTTGTCCCTCCTCAGTCTCCTTTGCCCAATGATGGGGTTGGCCTTCCAGGGTCCTCACTTTCTGGAGAGAGGATTTGCTTCCTCGTGGTCCCCTGTGGCTGCCATCACAGCTGGCCCCCAGGCCCCGGGAGCCAGGACGGGTGTCTTCCTGACTAGAGGTTCCCAGAAAAATCTCAGAGCTCCAGCTCCAGGCCTGGGACACAGGGGCCCGAGAGGAGGAAGGAAATTCTCACACACAGCTTGCTCCCAGGGATTTGCTCATGTTCCCAGGCTGACAACTGGCAACCCTCAGAACTCCATCCCCACCCCCTTCCTCCTCCTCCTCCTCCTCCTCTCCCTGCCTCCCTCTCCCCCAGCCCCCCTTCTTGGGCTTAATGACTTCCACATGGGCCTCTGGCAGCTGGAGCCAAGCCTCCCAGCATTGTCTGAAATCTCCAAATTTAGAAGAAATATGAAAATTGTCAACCACTCCTTCCTTAGGGGGTAAAAGCAACATTCAGCACCGGGGGCAGGTCAAGGCGAGGCGGTCACGTGGCAGGCGCCTGGGCCAATGGGGGGCCCCCGGGAGGACTCCGCACCCGCCTCACCCCGACACTGGGCTTGCTCCTTCAGCTCATATAAAGTAAAAGGCGGAGGGGCCTCTGTGGCCGGAGAGCAGCAAGCAAGGGGCTAAGAGGAGGGGGGTCCGGTGCCGGCCATTTGAAAACGCCCCGGTGGCAGTGAGGGGCACCAGAGTCCCAGTCTAGTTAGTTGGGAAGCAGTGACATCCCCCCAGAATCCCCCAGGTGGGCTGGCCCCCATCTCAGGCCACAAGGAGCCTCACCTGGACCAGACACAGGAGAGGTAAGAACCAATGGTAGACTTGGGGTGTACGAAAGGGGGCGGGGGCTCGTGGCATCTAGGGGAGACATTGTGTCAGAGGTCTGGTCCTTGTTCTCCTGCTAACCCCGCTCTGTGCCTTCCGCCTCTCTGAGCCTCAGTCTCCCCATCTGCACAGGGGCTGAACTTGATCTCTAAGCACCCTTCCCGCACTGGCCAGATGGGCAGAGTCCTCAGTCCCGCTGGCTCCGAGGACTTCTTGCGGCTGAGACGAAGTGGGGGTGGGAGCAGAGCAAGTGGGCAGCGTCAGCGTCTTGCCAGCCTGAGCTGCCCTGCTGTGACCAAGTCCGGGCCCGTCTCCCCGGCTTCTCTGTAGACAGCGCTCCTTCCGTGTTCTCTGAGGTTTGATTTCACAGTTCCCGGAGCTGGGGGCTCCTGGCAAGGAAAACTGTTTTCCAATAATGGCTTCAAGAAGCAAAGCTGGAAGAGAAGCCCTTATCAGCTTGGGCTCTGGCAAACCGGCAGACAGGCGGGAAGGCCAAGGGGCTGGCTGCTCGGCTGTGGGACGGGCACGACGGCTGAGGGACGGGGCTCGGGCTTCAGCCCCAGCTCTGCCTCCCATTGCCCGGCCCTGTGGCCTTGGGCAGGTGCCCTATGCTCTCTGACCTACAGTTTTTTCTTGGTACCTTGAAGCTGTTGGACAACCAAGTGTCCACACAGAATGTGGCATCTGAGCCCCATTCAAGCCTAAAATGCAGCGAGTGTTGGGAGGTTGTCCCCGGTGTCCCTGAGGTGAGCCTGCCCTTGGGCTGCTGGCGTGGAGTCCAAGCAGGTGCCCGTAGCCTGTGCGAGTTTTTGGAGGTTGAGCCTCGAGTGAGGAAAGGGAGCTGAAGGGGATCTGATGCAGGCGTCGCCCCCGGCAGCCTCTGGCGGGGAAGGTGCTGATCTCTGGGTGAGGACAGCAGCGTGGGGTGGGGACAGAAGAGACAGCAGAGAACTCCAGGGGGTGACGTGGTAGGCGTGGGAATCAGAGGAGGGCAGGAGATTTGAGATGGGCATCGTTGGGGCAGGCCTAGGAAGAGGCAGGGGTCTGAGGCCGGGACTGGGAGACAAGCAGGCCGCATCACTCTTCTGAGCAAGCTCTGGCCACACCTAGTCTTCCAGTGTCAGCCTGCCCAGCATCCTCTGATGGACGGGCCCAAGGCCATCATGGCCAAAAGGGGACTCTGGAATCCAATTGCCTGGGTCCAGTTCTGGCTTGTTCACTTACTAGACAAGTGACCCTGGGCAAGTCACTTGCTATCTCTGACCCTCAACAGGGCATTGCTTGGGCCATGTGCCCCAAAGCGTGGTGTGCAAACCACTGCACACTCACCTGCTGACAGGTAATCCAGGATGGGGCCCAGGCATCTGTGCTGTGAGCTCCCTGAGTGATTCCCACGCCTGTGGAGTTTTGAGAATGCTGTGCCATCAAGCAACTAGGGACCCCCGCAAACAAGGCTGAGGCAACTGAATGCACAGAAAGAGAGCCCTGGTCTAGGTCGCCCAGAGAGCTGCCAGCAGAGCTGGAGCAGAGCCATTCTCCCTGCCCAGCCCAGGCCTCCCCGAGGTGGTAGGGACAGGGAAATGGGATGCGATGCTGATGGTCCAGCACCACCTAAGGCCTGAATATGGACTAATCTGTCTAATTCTCACAACAGCCCGGTGAAGTAGGTGCAATTATTATCCTTCTCCCGTTGTACAGAGGAGGAGATAGAGACACAGATAGGTTAAGGAGCTTGCCTAAGGTCACACAGCTCGTGGATGGTGAAGCCTGGACACTGTATGTGATCTGGCTGCCCCAGATGCTCTCTCTGCATGGGTCTCCCACCTCCTGCCTTGCCCCTGGGCCACCTCACCCTGGAGCTTCCTGGCATCCGCAATGCACCAATGGATATGTCTGGTGGATTTTCCGGGTGCCGGGTGCTGGGCTGAACCTCTTGCATTATCGTTTAATCCTCCCAGGATGACCATGAGGCAGGAGTCAGCATCATTACACCATCCCCAGTTTATAGGGAAGAAGACCCCTGGGGCTTACACCAGGTAGCACAACTAGAAAGTGGCAGAATGGGTTGGGACCCACTCTTCAGCTTCAAAACACGCACTCTCACCTGCCCCCCAAGGCCCAGCTGAGAGCAGTGAGGAGGAATGCCACCCCCACCCCCAGAGGCTAGGGGAGTGGCTGTGCAGGAGCTTGAACCCAGGTCTTCTAGTTCCAAGGGGACCGCCCAGCCTTCCACCCTGCCACTTCCCCAGGACCGGAGAGAGACTGCTTGTCACCGGTCCCTAGGAGCCACAAGGCAGCTCTCTGAGCAGAGTCAGCCCTTTCCCTGCCTGGCCAGTTCTGGGGAAGAGCTGACACGCGTAGCCCTAAGGAATAGAAAGTTCCAGACCCAGTGGCACCACTGACTGTGTGAGCCTGGAGGGGCCTGGGAGAGGGTCCCTGGGAGAGGGTCCCTGAGGTCCTCACCTGTGGGCTGTGCCTGGACCCGCCTCTATTGCAATTTTCCAGCTAAACAGTCCCCCGGGCCTCAGGGCAGTGGAGTTGCACAAAGAATTGTGATAAAGCCTCTTTCTGATCAACGTTATGACAGTTATTTTTGTTCACATCTCCTAGTGCCCATGAGCCGCAGTTTCTCGGGGTTCAGGCCTAGAGGGGAATGACCGGGTTCTGGGGTGCACACCCGGCGACCTTGTAGAGGAGCAGCGTGTCGCTTTCCAAAGTGGCTGAGCCGAGTCACACAGCCTCCGGCAGTGTGGGCGCAGCCCCTCCCTGACAATCTGACATGGTCAGATTTCTTGAAGTGTGTGTGTAAAGCACTTCATTTTATGCCCATCAAATCTGCATGTGAAGAATGTAAGGAAGAAACAAAAACTCCGCCCCAGCCCTGTCCACCTGGGTCTCTAGAGAGTGCCCTGTGTGTGGACCAAGCTGCAGAGTGAGTGCCCTGCAGGCATGGAGGTGGCAGTGGGCACCGCCCAGCGGCCCCGCCCGTAGCCCGGCAGCATGCAGTGGCCACGGTCCAGTCAGAGGTCGCCTGCGGGACGCTGTGCAGGAATTTGGGGAAAAGAGCCCACAGTGGCTGCCACCTCCTACAGGCCTGTCTAGACAGGCCCCACGGGGCTTCGCCACACACTTCCGAGCCAGCCCCTTTCCCTCTTGCAAAAGAGGCTTGTTGGTGGCAGTGCTTCGCCACCAGAAACCTTTTCTCCAATTCAAAACATGCCTGAATAGACAGACAGCAGGAACCACCCGCTCCCGTGGCCCGTGGAGACCGCTTCACGCAGGCCCGTTTTTGTTCGGGTGAGGAAACGGAGGCCGACTCCGGAGCCGGGGGGCTTCAGATGTGGGGTGAACCCCCGTGCCCAGGTGAGGAGGTGAGCAGGCAGGGAGCAGAGCACTGCTAGGGTGGGGCTAAGGTGCGGCAGGAGGCCCGTTGCAGGGTCAGAGGGAAGTCAGGCTGCCTGGGTTTGAGTCACAGATCCGCCTCGTAGCAACTGTGTGACCTTGGACGGGATAAACACACCTGTCTCGTTAGGTTATTTAGCTGTCTGATTAAATGAGTGAAACCTCATACAGCCCTCAAAACAGTGACTGACACAGAGTAAGTTCTCAATAAAAAGTAGTTGCAAAAATGTGAATATTAAAGGCAGCTTCTTGGTGGGGCAGGGAGTGAACTGTACTGAGCTCCAATTCTCCTTTCCACCTGGGGAGGGGATAAACTGCTTAAAAAATAGCAGTTGGCCTCTGGCTAGTATAGCTCAGTAGACTGAGGGTGGGCCTGTGAACCAAAGGGTCACTGGTTCGATTCCCAGTCAGGGCACATGTCTGGGTTGTGGGCCAGGTCTCTAGTAGAGGGTGCATGAGAGGCAATCACACATTGATGCTTCTCTCCTTCGCTTTTTCCCTCCCTTCCCCTCTCTCTCTATAGAAGCTTAAAAAAAAAACAAGTAGCACATATCAATTCTGCCCACATGTCTGAGGTAAGAATCATTATCCCTCTGAAAACTTAGAGGCTCAGAGAGGTTTAGTCATTTGCCAAAAGTCACACAGCTTCTAAGAGGCCAAGCTTGGGCTCCATCTCAGGTCTGGCTCACTCCAGAAAACATGTGCTTACCCTCTAACACCACCCATGAGCAAGAACTAGTCCTGGTTCTGCCCTGCCTAATAGGGGCAACGTCTGGGCAGAGGCTGTTGGAGCCTGGTGCTCCCCTGTTGTGATAACGGGATGGACAGAGCTCCCACCCCACAGCCCAGGTCCCACCCCTCAGGCCTGTTCAGGGGCAAAAATGGACCCTGGCGAAATGATCCTTCTGCCCACTGTGCAGCCCTTAGTGCGGCTGAGTGCCCAGGGGCCTCAGCAGTCTGGGCTGCCCTTTGCCCCACACGGCCCATGGAGCTTTGAGGAAAGGGCAGTCGGCTAGGCCAAGGCTGGGAGGAGCAGCCTCACCCTGGCTCCTCCCCAGGAGCCCACATCAGCCACAAACCTCGGGCCCCCTCCTCAAAGACCGTCAAAGACCCAAGCCATGGTCGGAAGGAGGGGGAGAAGCCCCAAAACTGGAAAACACACAGACTCCACAGGCTCCACAAGGACGGTGCTCAGCCGCCACTAGCGGGTGCCCCACACCGTCCTCCTCCCACCGCTGCAGGGAAGCAGGGGCAGGGTGAAGTGTCCAGAGGGAGGCTGCCCCTCAGGGTGGCATGGCCCCAGCTGGACTGCCGAGCTCGTAGGCCACTGGTCAGTCTGCCCATAGCCACCCAGACTGCAGGCGTGTGGCCCCACAGCCCCGTGGAGTCTGAGAGCATTTGCTGGGAGAAGCAGAACAAGATGGGGGGAAAGGAGAGAAATAGGCTAAGACTCTGGTCCTCGCTCTGCGGCCAGCACCCTCAGGTATGCTCCTGCTCCTCCGACCCTCGGGCTCTCCAGGCTGCGCTGCTGCATGATTTGGAGTAAAAAGGGGACAGTTCAGGTTACCCTGTGTAC